ATTGAGTGACTGCTGCGTACCCAGTGCAACTGTATTCACCTTACACAGTGTGAGCAAACACAGTTTCTAGAGCTCTGACTTTACGTGCCACAGACACATTCCCAGAGTTTTCCCAGTATTTCCCAAGCGAGATCTAGCTCTCAGGTAAGCTTCTTGAGGGGGAAAAAATCATTTTTTGTTGTTGAGAAATTTTTGTATTGGTTTTCACTTGTCCCTTTTCAGGAAAGCTGTTGAGTTTTGTCAGACACAGTGCTAGATACAAAGGATGTGGCCGTGACTAAGAGGTCGAATCCCTGCTGGCTGTGGATCTTATAAATGAGTATAGCGGTTGCAGGGGATGCTCTCGGGGAGCCAGCCCACCTGTGGCCTGCTTTCTTCCCTCCCATCCGGGCCGCCCTGCCTGCAGCTCACCTGCACCACTGGAGTCTGCCAGAAGGGATGCTGCAGTTGTCCCGGCACAGCGCACATGTTTTAAATTCAGTGGTTGAAGGGAAACATATTGAACATATTGTTTGCAAATGTAATGAACATACTGTTTAAAATAAGCTGATTCTATGTTTTGACACTTTTAGTCAGGCCACAGTTTCCTTTTAATGCAAATATTGGTTGCCAAAAGATTTGTTTCAATACAAAATATGTGCAGCTATACATATTTTATCACTTTTGTTATTTGGGACACAGTGTGCTTGGGGTTGGGGGAAGGATCACCAGCTCTGCTATTTAAATATTCCATCTTATCAAAGAGGTGTTTCATAAATTATGCATAACAGTAGATGCCACTCAATAAATATTTCATATGTGATAGGTATTTTTGTCTGAAATCACTTTTTCACTTGAGCAATGATTTAAACCCTTGTTTTTAGTTTTATGAGGTGACACTTTTATAATATGTAGTGGATGCAGCTTGAATGTCATAGAGCTTTGGGGCAGCGTTCATCATAAATTCATCCGCCCCCACCAGTCCTGGAAAACTTTGTCTTAATTCAGGCTTTACCCATTCTGCGTACGGAAAGTGTGTGTGAGTGCGTGCCTGAGCATGCATGCTGGGAATTGGTGGGGGCAAGTAATGCTTTTGATCTAATGGCTCCAAAGTTATCAATTCAAATGATTTTCAGAGTCTCTGAGACTTATTTCAAGGAAGGAAAAAAATTGTTTTTCAGTGGTTAAAAAAAATTAAACTGGGATGTAGTCCAAAACAATTTCTCTAGTTTGAGTGGGAGCTATTAGAGTTTAAAATATTGCCCTGGGAGGGGGGAGGTTATTGTCCACTTTTTTGCAGAAAGTACATATGTCTCTGGACTTAGGAGAACACTCCCTCCCCTTTTCTCATGAACCCGGAGACCTGGGACAGTTCATTGCCAGGAGGCTACCTGCTTACCAGGTGTGCAGTACAGTCACAGTGCTGGGCTACCAGACCTTCCAGTGAGGACATTGTTTTATGAAATGGAACTATATGAGTAAATTCTCCATTGTAATATGTATATTTTTAAAAATCACATACTTTTTAACTTCTACTTGAATTCCGTGGGCAGGAGGGAAAGCATGAATTCTATAGTACCCCAGAGGGAAGAGCAGGGTCAGCTTATTTAGAGTGCTCATTTCAGCCAAGAATTGCAAGGGCCTTAGTGTAGCAAATCAAGATGACTGAAGCTCCGACCTCGAAGCCTGAGGCCTGAGCCCGGGATGGGAACCTGGCTGATACGAGTAATTGAAGAACACTGACATGCTTCATTTCCTTTTCTTGAATCTAGGTTATGCACTGGCCATTTTCTCTGCATCTGTTTAATGGTTGTTAAATTAAATTGCTTTCTTTTAAGTGGTAGCGCTTTTTTTTAACCATCTCTTTTTACCACTTCATTCTCCTGCCTTCTTGTGTGACTCCAGCTCTGCACCTTTGAGACCCAAATGCCTGCAGACGTGAAGGCCTGAGGGACTTCCGTTTCCACTGGCCTTCCCCAGAACCTCTTAAGAGCTCATCTGCAAGGTTGTGAAGCTCTGAATCCTTCACCTAGAGAATGGCAGATTTTATACATTGTTTTAATATTTAAATGACATAAAATGCATTTAGCCACTATGTTTTAGGCATTGCTGGTGTTGGAGTTTCAGAGCTGTGCCTTGGTCACTGTTGTCTTATTGTTGAGATGGGGTGGGGAAGGGGTTCACTAGGAGAATACAGCTTGGAACTTGCTCCCCTGTTGCTCCTATTAGTCCTATAATCACAGAGCACAATGTCATGCTGTTGGATGTGACTCAGCATGAACTCAGCACAGCCCACCCTCAGGGCTGGAATTTTCACCTTCAATCTTCTGGAATTTGTCTGTTTTCCCTCAGACTTGCCAAAAGCCTGATTTTAGAGGTTTTTTGTGTGTATTTTTGTTTGTTTGTTTTTATCTTGGCTCAGGTGGGTCTAGTGGGACATTAAGACACAGGCCTGCGAGTCTCTTCCCTGAGGGGCTGCCATTGACCCTCCTTCCTGAATTTCTCTGAACTCACTCTAGTTTGAGTGGGAGCTGTTGGAATTTAAATATTAGTTCATTTGACAAATATTAATTGAGGAGTTACTGTGAGCCAGGAATGAAATTAGGTACTGGTTGACAGTGTTTCTATAATACACTTGTATATATGTTATATAATGATAATTGCTAAGGAGAGAAACAAATGAGGATAAGGTGATTACTATCTTGTATGGAGTGATGGGGGAAGGTGGCTTTTGAGCAGAGACCTGAGGAAGTGAGGGCCATTATATATTTATATAGGGAATTCTCAGCTGGGGCTGTTTTTTTTAATCCAGGGGACATTTGCCAGTGTCTGGAGACATTTTTGGTTTTCACAACCTTGGCTGAGGGAGAGTGTGTTATTGGCATCTAGTGGCTGGGGATGCTGCTAAACGTCCTATAATACACAAAATATCTCCCCATAATGAAGAATCATCTGGTTGAAAATGTTAATAGTGCTGAGGTAGGAGAAGCGAAGGACTAGGTGATACAAGAGACAGAAGGAAAAGGAAATGCAATGACTAAGCCCTGAGGTGAGGTAAGGCGGCAAGTTTGAGGACAGCAAGGAGTTGTAGGTTCCTAGAGAGGCGTGAGGAAGGGGGAGAGTGGCAGAAGACTAGAGTCAGCAAGGCATGTGATCATGTAGTGCTTTGTAGAATGATACAAAGACTTTGACTGTTATCTCAGAGAAACTGGAGGCCACATAAATGATCTGAGCAGAGGCGTGTCCTGCCCTAATATCCCTCTGGCTGTTGAGTAGACTATGAAACAGCTGGGGCTTGAGTGGTAGTATCCTTGATCATTGCAGTGATACAGGTAGAAGATGCTAATGATTGGGTCCCGGGAGGAGTGTGGAACAGGTGGCTTGATGTTATCAGATTGTAACTGAAATGCAGATTCTGCTGCCTGCTGTATGGAAAACCAGACTTGTAAGACAGGTGTGATAAAAGGAAAGAGGTTTATTCAACTGCCGGCATCTCGAGAAGATGGGGGACTTTCCCCAGTCCTCAAAAACCCATCTTAAAATCTCAGTGCAGGCAGAGGTGTTTTTTATAAGGAGGTAGAGGGAAAGCAGAACTAAAAGATCAGGGGAGGGGCTGTGGACGTGCAGGCAGTGTCCTTACTGGTCCTGATATGGATTTTCATGGTCAGCATCCTTGAGTTGGCCATGTGGCCTTTTTTTTTTTAATCAGTGAACATCAGTGTCTGGGTGGTCAGCGTTAGCCAGAGTCTTGAAGATCAGGCTGCTCCTTAGGTTCACGCAGGAACTGAAACTGCTGGATTGTGAAGAATACTCAAAAAAACTTTTAACATGTAAGCTCTAGTCTTGAGAGAAAAATCAGGTTAGAGTAACAAGCTCAGTTTAGCTTTACTAAGATTAATGTGGGTAGCTTTATATAAGTATAGTGTATCCATTCCCTGTTAACATGATTGGGGGCATATTTTGATGCCAGAGTCAACACTAGCTATGTAGGGTTAAGAGAAAGAAAAGAACAAAGTAGAGCCATAGTTTTGGATCCAAGTAATTGTAAGGAAGGTTGACATTCACTGAGAAGGGATCATGTACAGGATTGGGTTGATTTTTCAATGCATTAAGTCTGAGCTGCCTATTTGGCATCCTCACAGGTATATTGAGGTAGGCAGGTGTGTGTGTGTGTGTGTGTGTGTGTGTGTGTGTGTGTGTGTGAGAGGTCTGCCTAGGGATTTAGATTTGAGAGTCATCAGCATATAGATTGCAGGTAAAGTCGAGACAGGAGGGGATCATCAAGAGATGACTGTAGATACTAGACTTCCAAGGGTGAAAGACCCCATGGAATGGGTTCAGGAGAGAGCAGGAGGGGAGAAATTGGAGAACCACAAGTGTAGGGATCTTTTTGGAGGTGATTTTCTCTAAAGGGGCAGAGAGAAATTGGTGACAGCTAGAGGGAGATACAGGGCCAAGGGGAGTGGTGGTGGTAGTGGTTGTTGGTGGGAGATTCATAGCAGATTTGTGTGTAGGTGGGAGGGATCCCTAGATAGGAGACGATGATGCAGGAGACAGAGATGTGTGTAGTGCAGGGGTAACTAATGCACAGGAAAGGCTTCATCTTAGGAACATGCACAGTTTTTCCATAGTAACTGCAGAGAAGAGCCAGCAGATCAGGAGACATCTAAGTATTAAGTGAAATAAAGGTTTTGAAGAGGGAGAAAGATTCCTTTGTAGTCAGGTGGTTATAGAACCTTCCCTAAGGAAGGCAAGGTTTCAGCTTTGTTTCAAAGAGGCTGTATAAATCAGGTAATACGTTTAATTCATTTTAATTGATCTTTTATATTTCAGATTCACTTTGCCTACCATATGCCAGGAATTCAACATGAAATTTAAGGTCCATTTTTCTTGCAGTGTTTTTGATGAGAAAGAAAACATTTTAACACTCTGAGGAACACCTGGAAAAAACCCCACACACCTAATAAGATGTTCTCTTTCCTCAAAGTAACCTTTTCCTTTTCTTTCACTCCTGATTTCAGGAACAAACTCTAGCCCTTAGGAAAGAAGGGATTGGAGTTGTTTTGGATTCTGAACTGCCTCATTTGATTGGCATTGATGACGACCTTCTGAGTACTGGAATAATCTTGTATCACTTGAAGGTAAAAACTGCCTGAGTGGAACATTCTAATTTTGCTTTCACTTTTCCCTTTAGAGACTAGCAAGGTTTGTTATAATACACTGTGTCCACAAACACAGCTATTGCATTAAACAATATTCAACAAATCCTTGAGCCCTTTGGGGGATTTTCCACAGTTCATTGGGGTTCTGTGGTATTAGAAGTTCTCATTTTTATGGAGTCCTAAAAGTAAATGAAGATCCATTTACTTTGCCTTCTAATCTGTAGACTCAGTAAAGGGGGGTAAGGAACAAAAAGGCAGATAGACTAGGGAAGAAAAGTCACAAGTACTTGAAACCGGGATTGGCTGTACGTACAGTTTCCTGGGCCCTTGTGTTAATTTTAAAGTTGTGTCTGGTCCTGAACAGGCTATTCAAGTCAAGAGAGCAGAATTTCTACCTCAGCATCAGTGGCTGCCTCTGTAACCTTGACTTTTAGTATCCTCTCTCTGATCCAGGGCTTAAAATGAAAATGGAATCGCATTGTGCTTTGTGGGCTCCCATCAACGTTTACACATAAACAAAACCCTCTCCACTGGAGGGGAAACTCTCCTGTAAGAATTAGGAGCATCATTGAGATTACTGTCGTGGGCAGATTATGATACATGCCGAAGTAGGAGCCTACCCGTTGTTGGGCAGTAAGCCCCAGCCAGCTGTCATTTTCCAGATAACATTCACTATCGTTTCAGAGCCTCAGTGAACTCTAATCACACATGTGGTCTTCCCAGGACATTTCTGTGGCCTTCCCTGGGACGTTGCTCATCAGGTCATCAGGCTGCTTGGGCTTAAATGAAAAATGGAGACACAGATGGCTTCTCATGTCCTTACTAATTAATTTTACTTGTCTTTTCTTCCCAGGAAGGTCAGACATATGTTGGTAGAGAAGATGCTTCAACAGAACAAGATATTGGTAAGAATCTTTATCAGTTTTCTCCTCCCAGTGAGTTTTCTTTTTTAATTCTCACCCAAGGATGTTTATAAAAATTGATTTGAGAGAGAGAGGAAGGGAGAGAGAGAGAGAGAAACATCGATGTGAGAGCAACATCAATTGGTTTCCTTCTGTATGAGCCCCGACGGGGTTGCACCGCCAACCTTTGGTGTGTAGGGTGCTGCTGCAGCTCACTGAGCCACGCAGCCAGGACCCCAATGATTTTAAAAATCATTTAACGGAGACCTTTCATTTGAATGGCGGACAGGAAGTAATTGTAAAAAAGGAAACTTTTAAAAATACAGCATTTAATCCGTATGTGTATTTCTATAATGTGGAACTCAAATTAATGAAACGATTAATTTGGTGAATAAAGTGAAACTCTGAATCCTTTCCCCTCACACTACATGCATTCTACACTTTGTCACATCTTTTAAGAGTGCAGTTATTTAATCACTCTGCTCTTGTCACAGTGGGACAACAGTTGATGGAAATACGTCAACAGACACAGGGAAAGGCGATAGGACCAGTTAATGGGGAGAATACAGACCTGTACCTGCACTAAGGTGCTAATGGAAAGTAGGGTGCACACACACAGCATGCACACCTGGAGGCACGGCTCCCTGGGTTTCCGAAAGTCTGCACGAGGCGCACAGATAGCTCAGTAATTCTCCCCGAGCAGGGTGAGGACTTGCCAGGCTTTGCAGGCGTAACTTAGGGAACTCATGGCGGCGGTGGTGGGGTGTGTATGTGTGTGTGGCAAGGTGGGGGTTGGCAGGGGAAGAATTATACCTTTTCAGCTATTTTTAGAATTGCTGGCGATGGATTTGCTTTCCCGCCAGTGTCAGCTATTACTCAAGCCAGGCCTAGCATATTCCTATGTGTATTTATTGTGTGCCTGTGAAACTGGGAGAGCTGAAAACCAGTTCCCAGAAGTCCTTAGGATCAACTGCTGTTGAGTAGAACTGGGCCTTGGGCCCCTTCTTCTAATTGTTAAATCATGTGTCTGATCTTTGAGGCTGCTGTAAGTGACTGTGAGAGGTAAGACCATGTTTCCTGTGAGCAGAGAAGTGCAGTTGTGCAGTTCTGTGGAGAAGCGGGGAGCCATTTGGTCTGTACTCCTGAGAAGCTGCCCAAGATTTGGGCCTAGAATCATGCAGGTTTATTCGATAGGCGTTCACATGCATGCCTGGCCGTTCACTAGACGAGAATAGCTCAGGATGGCCATGTGTGATTAGGGAAACCTTAGCAGCCACGTGCTCTGAGAGGTCTGTGAGGTCAAGTTCTCTGAGAATTGGCACAGGCCATGGCCCTGTGCACCCAGGTACAGCTTCTGGAGACGTTCTGGGGCCTCCCAAGGTCCATGCCATGGCAAGTTCACCTTTGATTTCTGCTCCTGGAACACAGGGTCTGTGACTGTGGAGGTCACAATAAGTTCTTGACCCTTGGAGCCCCTTTATCTCCATTTTACTGTGAACTTTGGTTGATTGATGAAGGAAATTTATTCAGCATCAGAGTGACTCAAAGGTGTTCAGTTAAGACAAGTTACTCAATAATTTTTTTTCTGAAGATGAGGTAAACATCCCAGAACTTATTTCCTTATACAGGTGATACTCAGACCCTTTAAGGTAACATTCAAGGGATACCTTCAGTTCTATCAGTTCATGCCAGGAACTCCTGGAATTCAGTTTCCTCACTAAACGTGAATGTTCACTTCACAATGTTTACATGGAAAAGGAAAGGTATTCATTGTGGAAAAATAAAGTTTTGGGATCATTGCACTAGATACCAAAGAAAAAACTTTCTTTCTCTGTTTTTCCAACTTAGTTCTTCATGGCCTCGACTTGGAGAGTGAGCACTGCATCTTTGAAAATGCCGGGGGGACAGTTACTCTGATACCCCTGAGTGGCTCTCAGTGCTCTGTGAATGGCGTTCAGATCATGGAGGCCACACACCTGAATCAAGGTACCTGGGTTTGGTTTTTAGAGTTTTTTGCATATATTGTTGCTAGAAAACAAGTTGGCTCCATAATGGGGGAACATGTGTGTCTTAGAATTATTTACTGACGATAAGAGTATCGAAAGTGAAGACTGCTTCCTTATGCTGTTTATTCTTTCATTGTGCCGAAGGACTTCTTTATAATATCCATTGTCTTGAATTAAACAGGAATCTGTATGTAGTTCTCTTAGAAATTATTTCTGTGGTGGAAATATGACTTTAACAGATTTTTAAAAAAATTTTCAGCCGAGGATATTTTTCCCACTGGTTTTAGAGAGAGTGGAATGGGGAGAGAGAGAGAGAGAGAGAGAGAGAGAGAGATCAATTGGTTGCCTCCTGCTTGTGCCCTGACAGCCTGCAACGGAGGAGGTACTTGCCCTTGCCGGAATTGAACCCGAGACCCTTCAGTCTAACCACTGAGCCAAACTGGCTCGGGCAGATTTTTTTTATGTTAAAAAAGTACCCTTCAAGTGTAAAGTCTTAACACAGCAGCTTCTTCTAATAATTTTATTACCTTATTTATATTTTTAAATGAAAAGTTATCTTAGCATAAAGAATATGGTATCATATTTTTTTTTTTCTTTTGGAATAATTTCAAGTATTACAGAAAAGTTGCGAGAATAGTACCAAGAAAGAACTTTTTAATTTCAGAAGCATTTGAAAGTAAGTTGCTGACATGCTACCCCACTACCCCTGAATACTTCAGTGTGTATCTCCTTTAAACAGTGGCGTCTTCTAGGTAACTACGGTGCAGCCATCCAAAGGAAACCGACGCTGATACATTCCTACCTTCTGATTCTCAGCCTGCCTTTGCCATCTGTCCCAACAATGTCCCTATGGGTCCAGTGTTTAGTCCTGCACCCTGGGTTGCATTTGGTTGCCATGTCTCTCTAGTCTCTTTCTTTCTGGAAGATACCCCTTGTATTTCCTTGACTTTTATGACTTTGACAGTTTTGAAAACTGCACGTCAGGTATGCTATAGAATGTTCCTCCACAGGGTGTAAGACTGATCTGATGCTTCCTCATGAGTAGACTGTCAGAGAAACGATGCTGTATTTTTCTCACCTCCCATTACACGGTGTCTGTTGCCATCTTAATGATGCTCGTGGTGATCGTTTGATTAAAGTAGAGATTGCTAGGCTTCTTCACTGTGATGTTACTTTCTTGTTTTGCATTTTTGATATGAAACTGAAAAGAGCAAATGAAACAAACAAAAAATTCATAGACACAAACAGCAGTATGTTGGCTACCATGTGGCTGTTTGGTAAGATGTTATGTGCGTTTCCATCACTCACAAGTGCCAGCTGATGGCCTGATGGCCGCTTTGATGCTGACACCACTACCCTTGGTTCCCAGTGCCTGTCGGGGTGCCAGCCTTCTGTCCTGTGTGAATTCATTAGTACTCACATGAAATTTTCTTACTTGCCACAAATACCATGGCAAATCTTAATCTTCCTGATATCCCTGGCCAAATCCAATGATAGAGAAAAATTACATAATTTCTCTATAATTTATAGAGAAAAATTGGTATAATTCAGTTATCGTAAACAATAAAGTCAGTGTCACAAGAGTTCAAGGCCCTAGAACATATTTAATGTTTTCTTAAGTACTGGCATATATTAGTGGAAATTAGACTTTGTCTTTATCAGGTCCCCAAAATACTGCCATCATCATAACTTATGGTGATACAGCTATTTTAAAGACATTTTTAAATAAGAAAGAAAGTTATCACACACAAGTAAGTTTCTTTTTGTTTGACTTAGGAAATGAAATAAGAACTTCACACATCCTACCTCACCCCAGCCTCTTACTCAGTAGCATTCCACCGAGCATACTTTAGCAGTGTGTTATATCTTGTCTCTGTAAATGGGGGGTTGAGGAATCTAAAGAAATTAAATTTCGAATGTGGTGCCCTGAAGCATAATTTCAAAGGGCCCCCATTTTTTGGCTTCTAAGCTCATGTTACATTGAACCATGCACTTTTGAGAATACAGTTGTCTTTTATGTTTGTATTAATTGTTACCCAGAATGAAATATTCATACATCACCACCTCAGAAATATTCATATGATATTTAATAGGGAAAAAAGCGAGGAATTCGTGTAGTAGCAGAATTGGAAAACCTCACATAAAATTTGAAAAAGTAATGAATAGTGATACTGAGGATTATTTTCACTAACCTCTTTGAAAGTCACTAGAAATGCTTGCATGTTTAATATTTTCCAGTATACCTGAAATATTAAAATAGAAAATCTCAGGTGAAACCAGCCTTCATTGGTTTTATTCAGAGATTTAAATGAAGCCTTTTTGTTGTTGTTAACAAGTGTCTTTGTCTACCCTTTTACAACGTCATTTCCCCTTTTAAGACCATCTGGAATGTGTCCATCTTCAGGTATTTATCAGGCCCTGAAGTCATCTCCAAGAAGGCATCGCATATTTCAAAAAGGTTTAAACATACTCTAGCGCTTACAAATTAAGGGCATCACACAAAGTCCATCTGCTGTGCTTAATGACATTGACCTCAGATCAAGGAGTAGTCAGTTTATAGTCATAGAGAGCTTAAGATCTGGAAGGAGCCTTGTCCAGTTTGATGACTAAATGAAGAGGCTGAATTCTGGAGAGGCTAAGCAGTGACTCGACCTTGGCCACACCAAGATTTCCGGGCAATACACATGCTCTGGGTGTCACCCAGAGGCCTTACACCATCAATCATTCTCATTCATTCACTTCTTTATTTTCCTTCAGGTCTCATATTGCTTTTAAAGATATACTCATGAGTCTCCTTTGGGATCCCATGGGATCCATGACCCCAATCCAGCCGCTGCCAGCTCCATCTTTCTCTTTATACACACACTCCTTGAACGAGTTGCCTGTCTGCACTCAGATCCTTAGGACTCCTCAACCCCTTTAGTGTGGCTTCTGACCGCTGTGCAGATGCTCTCACAGAGGCGACTCGTGACCTCACTCGGGACCTCCATGCCACCATACCCCATGGCGGGTTTCAGTCTTTTCACCTTGCCTGATCCCTCTGAAGTGTCCTTCATCCTTGACCGCTCCCTCTCTTGGCTTCTGAGGCTTCCTCTCTCCCTCTCTGATGGCCCCGACTCTGTTTCCTTTGCAGGTCCCCCTCCTCTAGTTGGCCATTAAAAGCCAGTGTTCTTCAGGGGGCCCAACCTGTTCCATCTCTCTCTTCTCTCCTCAGGTGACTTCCCACACTGCGGCTTCATTTATTAGAGATGACTCTCAACTATAGAGTGATATACACACTCTTACATGCACACATGTATGTACACACATATATGATACCTGTATATGTATGTATACCTATAAACACAGATGTTAGGTAGATATGAATACATATGTGTGTGTTATATACCTTTATAAGTAGGTAGTAAGTAGGTAAGTAGGTTGATAGGTAGACAGATAGATAGGTACCCTAGGCTTTTCTTCTGGACCTTCAGACCCCTATTTCTTGCTGCCAAAGGCATCTCACATTCATTATGTCTAAAACCAGACTTATGATTTCTCCTCTAACCCAATCTTAGTGCTTTTCTAGCATTCTCAGTCTGTACGAGCAACTCAGCACCCAAGCACTTACTGCAGGCCAATCCCCCGGAGCCAGCCTCCTTACCCCCCGGTGCCTGTATCTAGCCCATCATTGCATCCTGTCGATCTTAATTCCTAAATATCCTCGGATTTATTTCCTTTCTTCCCTACCCCACCTACCCAGTTTTGAGCCACCGTTGTCTTTGACCTGGACCATTGCAGCAGCCTCCTGTCTTCTTTATCTACATCTACTGGTGCCCTCTGATTCATTCCTCAAACAGTGGAAAGAATGGCCTTTCGGAAACTCATATCTAATTGCGTAACGCTGCTGCAGAGACCTCCAGTGTCTTCTGTTGCACCCGTGTGACGTACAAGGTGCTTTACTGTATCCTGGAAGATCCTCGGTCATCTGCTCCCTCTCTCTCAAGCCTTTTCTTGCGCAGTGCTCCCTCTTGTTCCCTCTGCCATAGACATGCAACTGTCTTCTAATCAGTCATCGTCTTTACTTGCCAAAGAGCCTTTACATAGGGTTCTCCTCCACCCTATCGCCCCCCCTTTGAACACTGGGCAGAGTAGCTCTCCTTCAGCTGTAGCTTTGCATTTATTTGTGGAATTATTGATTATTTACTTCTCTCACCTACTTGTTTATAATGAAGGGCAAAGCATATGTCTGACCTGTTCAACTCTGTGTCCCCAGTGCTTATCACAGTGACTAGCATATGGTGTTTATTATTTGTTGAATGAACGAATGAACAGCGGCGTCATGTAAAAATGAAGCACGTTTTTAAAGCCAGTAGGTTTGTTGAGTGAAGGAACGCATAGAGGAAATAGAGGGAAACCAGCCTTAGCAGAGCCTCTTTTGTGCCCCAGGTAGTTTACGTGCATTATTGAGATGGAAACAAGGAATGGCCATGGGTAGTTTTGCTTTCTTTTATAACTCCTTAAAGGGATTTTTACATGTATTTCATGCAAACACAAGGGTGGCAAGATTATTTTCAGTGATTTAATGTGATATGAAATAGGTTTCTGAAATACTGTTCATTTTTTCCATTAATGTATTTTAGCAATTTTCAATTTGCATGGCTGGGCATTTGCTTAAAGCGAAGAAAGTTGGGTTTTGCGATTGCCTTATTAATCTCTAATGTCACTTTAAGAGTGTCAAACATACGTGTATTCTAGACAAGGTTTAACTTCTGACTTTCTGGGTAGCACAGTTCTGAGTCCTAGTCATAAAAGGCACGGGAAACACCTTTGTTCATTAGGGCAGTGGCGCCTTTCCTCAGGAAACTGTGCGAATGCAGGTTTATATGAGGGGATGAGCGGAGTGTAGAGTGGATAATACCCGCCGCCACCCTCCTCAGGCTCCTAGAAGCATGTTTTCCTTTTCATGTTGAAACTTTTGGAGAACCTGAGGTAATATGCTGAATAGGCAGGTCGAGATGTGCTGGCGTGAAGCTCCAAATAGCTGTCTGGGGTTATGATGTTACCTGCAGGGTCCTGGTGAGAAGTTGGTGGCTGTGGTCAACCAGATGTGCCATGCTCTGTCCAAAGGAAGCAGCCATCAGCAGCCCGGGCGTGTTTGCCAAGTGACATCACAGACCTACTGATACCACAGCTTCCAATTTTTGAAGGGAACCCAGAAAGAAACTCAGACTTAGTGAAAGCTGCGGGCTTTTAACTGTTGGCAACTAATTTGTTTTTTAAACGTTGCACAGAACACACAGAACAGGTCTATGAGCTGAAGTTTTGTTCTAGCCACCGTTTCTGAGCTTGGATGCAGTTCTCCCTCCTGACTGTCCAGGTCCTCATGGTCTGTTTCTGTGTCATCTCTCCCGTACTGGTTCTTACTGCTGTCTCAGGTGTCCTGCATTTTGGGTGGACTTTACTCCCTCCCCTCTCCAGACATAGCGGGCTGGTCTCATGTCTAAGTCCCAGCCCTTCCCTGTGGTTACCCCAAAGTGGAACCTCTCTTCTGTCCTCTAGCTGTCCGGTGAGACCCAGATTATTAGGTCCTTAGTGCAAAAGCCTGTCCCCACCTACTGCAGCCTGCACTCATCACTTAGGTGCTCAGCACCTCATCACAGGGCATCCTTCATGGTTGACATCTAGTACGTGTGTCTTATCTTCCCAAAGAAGTTGTATTTTTTTTTAGGGCAAAGATTGAACATGGAGGTTCATTCTGAGCATGGTAGGCTCATAGGTGTCAGTGGGACCAGATAAGATAGTGAATCTCTTCGGGAACATCACTTCCCTTGGATGCCTCCAGTGACCAGTAGCTCACTATCTTCCCTGGTACTTGTACAGCTTTGGACGACTCTGACCATCCAAAGTGTTTGCTGGCTTATTTGCCTAATCGAGCTGAAATCTGCCTCGCAGCCCCAGCGATTTCGTTACCCTTAGGCATTTACATTGAATTCTTTTTCCCCTTGTGCAGTCATTTTCTGAATAAGCAGGACCTTAGTCAATCAAAAGAGTTTGTTTTTTGTATGTGTCTAATTTGACCATCTCAATTTTAACAGGAAGCAATGTTTTTACATGGAAATAGACACTACATGTACACAATTTCTTTTCTCTCCAATTCTGAGGAAGATTTTAGTAATAGTTTCCTGTACTCTGTCAGTTTTACCATATTTTCTTTGGAAAGACTTTCCTTTGAGATTTCTACCTGTACCGGCATTAGTAAATATTTCCTAAATTTGTGATCATATGCTTTGCTTGGTATTACATCTCTTTGAAGGACTGATTTCCTTTTTTTCTTCTCAAAAATCAAAAGTATAAGTTTTGCATGTCATAACGTACTTTAATGCCTGCATGCATCACTTCTTCCGTGGGTAACACGAGCACTGTGATGCTTGGCTGTAAAAACAAAAGCGTTTGCCCATTTAAGAGTAACTTATGAAAGCAGGCGTTTGAGACTAAACCTTCCCCTTATTATTATTGTCTTGTCCACCGTAAATTGCGTTTCCGCGATAAAATTCCGCGTTCTGGCACCAACTGCCCGGGCTGCTCACTGAACTCGTTCCTGTCGTGCCCTCAGGTGCCGTGATTCTCCTGGGGAGGACCAATATGTTTCGCTTCAACCATCCCAAGGAGGCTGCCAAGCTCAGGGAGAAGAGGAAGGTAAGTGCGGGCCTGGCCCGGCGGGGCTGCAGCCGGCGTCCCCGCTCTGGTTCCCGAAGTTTGATGTCCTGGAGCACAGAACCGCAAGAGTTCTGTAGCCTGGAATGATTCTGGGGAGTTCGTTTCCCGGCTGATGAAGTGGGAGGGCGAGCAAGTAAAGTGCGGGGCAGGAGAAGGGCTCCTTCTAGAGCCCTCTCTTCACCCGCCGCCCGCAGAGGAGTTGGGTGTCGTTGGGCATTAAGTGGAGAGTGGCTTCCACTTAGGAGCAGCTCTGTGAGGAGCTGACCCGGTATCAGAATCACTTTCATCCAAAAGCTTGCTTCTTTGTCTATTTGGATTTTTCTCGGGGTGTGAAGCAGAGAGTGAGTTTAGGACAAGCGGGGGGACCTCATCCTGGTTGGGCAGGGACATCCCGAGGGCACTTAAGGTGCTGCATGGGGGAGGTGGGCCGAGGAGCAGCGAGATAGGGGAAGCATTGAGAGGGAGGGAGACCTGTGTGGGGACATGGTGCTGTCCTTAGACTGAGGAAGATAGTTACGACCGCAGCTGACATTTCTGAGCCAGGCACTGCGCGAAGCTCCCACATATGTTCTACTGCTTTATCTGTGCAGCACCTGTTACCGTCCCCATCTCACAGATGACGGAGGTGAGAGACGGACACACCCGGCCCTGAGCCAGTGGGTGGGGAGTCGGGGTGCAGCCCTGCCCCGCCCCTCGCCTCTGAGCGACGTAGCCCCACAGCTCAGCTGGCTTTGGGAAGGGTTTCGGAGGCGCCAGTGCTGTAAACGGGGAAGAACAGGATTGCTGCAAACCTCAGCCTGCTCCAGGCTGCCTGCTCCAGCCCCTGAAACCTCTGATCTGTCCCAGCCCAGGGACTCCCTGGAGGGTCCTTTTTGATTCACAACTGCAGAAAATATGTTTGCCAATAGCTCTCCGTGGGAGCAAAACAGGTCAAGCTCTTATTTCTTGGTGTCCCTTCCCTGTCCCTCCTCCATCTGTGTCACCCAGTAAGTGTCCATGAGTGCTGCTGATAACCGGACAGTACTCCTGCCAGGAATGAGGGTGACAGATGTCATGACCCCTTCCCTTGACGTTAATGCAGCTTGGCCGGGGAGACCACCGGGTCTCCCGTTTCTGGCTCGTCTCCCCAGTTCAGGCATGCGGGGGCCCTGCTGCTTTAGCGGAGGGTTTTGGGTTGGGACTGTCCCTGGTTTGCCGCCCTCAGACAGACCAGCTGGTGTGCGTGCTACTGAGGAACGAATGCTCTTCACCGCTCCTCCTAAGTTGAGACCATTGAGTCCACAGCACTGGCCTCTGCCCGCCAAGGTAACCGCTCTGCCCCTGTCTCCCTAGAGTGGCCTTCTGACCTCCTTCAGCTTGTCCATGACCGACCTCTCCAAGTCCTGCGAGAACCTCTCCGCCGTCATGTTATACAACCCGGGGTGAGTGGACAGCTTCTTCTCCTTCCCTGTGATCCCCACTGGTGGTGTCTCTTGTGTCAACTCTGTTCAAGTCAGTCACTAGATAAAAATAACTCTCCGGCAGTCATGCCTCTTTATCCAATCAGCCGCAGCCATTTTCCAGCCCTTGCTATATGTGTACATAATTCTACTTAGTTATAATCACAAAATAAATGAGATTATATATTCCGTTTTTGTTTTTTTTTTTTGCTAAACAGCATAATAAGTATTACTAAGGGTTGTTACAAGCTTCATTAGCATTTTCCTAACTGTCTAATATTTTAGAGTTGGCACTTCGATGACTCCATGCACGATCTATCTTTGGCTGAAGCACTTTCATCTCATCTTATAAATTTATTGTGGTAACAGAGACAGCTTTGGTTCCTAGGGCACGGCATAGCCTAGGAGATTCTGTTCACAGCCTTCAAGCACTGGGGGCCTCTGAGGACATAAACAGTGTGTTTCAAGTGGACTTCATGGATGGGTGACCTTGGCCGAGGGGCTTAACTACTCAGGTGCTTCATGATAATGAAGATGTCCTAAAACGGAACTAAAGGAAAGGACTATGTGGGTCCTTCCCAGTTTTGTGAGGTTCTATAAGTTTATCATTCTATAAGGGTAGTATCATGTAAAACAATGAAGTTAAATCTAATAGCTAAATAAATGAGGGAAAATTGACAGCGACGTTCAGAACTGTCAGGTTTTAGTAGCTGCTGTACGCCAAGCACTGTACTAAGCACCTCACTTCCATCCCTTAATTCTCATGACTCCTTCCCTGGTTCACACAGAGATAATTTACTTTTTGTTTTTGCTTGTTTTTCTCTGTGTTTATAAAATGTAAGTCAGAGTGTACTAATTTTCATCCTCAAAACTTTTCAGTGACTTTCCATGGTCTGAAAAATAAAGTTCTAACCCTTCACTATGTCACTAAGGCTTTCCACCCGCTGTGCTCTCCTCAGCACCTCCCTCCACATGTCTGGTACCCCGGTCATAGCTCAGACTCACCCGGCCAGTCATGCCTTTGGCGCTCTTCCTTTGCTAGTTTCAGAGCCTGGACTGTGTTTTGAGATGCACCCTCTTGTGCTGGAAGGGTTAGTGCAGACCATCCCTCCTCTGAAAGCTGTTTCCAGCGTCTGTCCCCCAATGAAAAATGAGACCCTTCCTCACGGTACTTTGCTCCATTTCTGTCATCTTTATTTTGTTCTTTGTAGTGGACACTCGTCTACCCACAAGTCCCTCTGAGCGTGTCCTGTGGAGCAGGCAGGTTCTAGCACAGTGGCTCAACAACACCAAGAAGGTCAGTTTACAGCTAGCTGCAGGAGAGAAGCAGTGGCAGATAATTGATGAATAAATGCAGAAAGTAAAAATGAAATTAACACAAAATGTCTTAGGAAGCGTGTGATGCAGCGATCAGGAAAGGCTGCCCCTGGAGAGGATATTTAATCCAAGACTTGAGTGCAGAGTAGGTGATGCTCAAGAGAAAGGGGGAGAGAGGAGAGTATTTCAGGCAGAGTACAGAGCAAGCACAGTGGCTTCAAAACGAGATGCAGAAAGAGGGTCAGGGTAGACAGTGGACAGTAAGTACAGAGGAGAGTGGATGAGAGTGAGTCAGTACAGCTAATGTAGGGCCTGGAAGGCCACTGGAAGGAGCTGCCTCTTTTCTAAATGTGCTGGGGTGCCCTTCGAGGGCCTTGAGAAGGAGAGTTATGTGAAGATGTGCGCATTGCNCTGCCCTGGGGTGCCCTTCGAGGGCCTTGAGAAGGAGAGTTATGTGAAGATGTGCACATTGCAAACAGGATGTGTGTCATTTGGAGAAAGTAGCATTGAAGCAAGAGACCGTTTAGAAGGCGATTTCCTTAGTCCAAGTGAAAGGGGACAGTGGCTTGGATGTGGGCGGTAGCCATAGACATGGCGTATAATGGAATCAAGGGTGATTCCCAGGTTTGGGCTTAAACAACCGTAAAGGTGGCATGTCGTTATTGATGTGGCAAGACAGGCGGGACCAGCTTGGGCTGGCGTTTGGGAAAGAATTTGGCTTACGTGAGTGTCTTTCCTATTAGATCGGAAGTTTTTCAAGATCAAAGGGCTTGTCTTGTTAATTTCTGTATCTTCAAGTATCATTCTCAAAACCTGCTTAGTAAATGTTTAGCCAACAGATTAAGAGTGAAATTTTAATGAGACCCATGGATCTCTCTTATGGAAAGGTTTTCCTACTAATTTCCCTGGGTATCGATGTTCTAAATAACAGAAGATGGCATATTGCACAAAAGAATGCATTTCTGGAGCACGGGTCACTTCCCAAATTACACTGTCGTTTTTGAGTAATCTCAAGGCCATGTTCAGGATCCTCAAGCCAAGAATAGGAAGAGGGCCTCATGAAACAGTGAGGAATTAGGCCGAGGCGGTGAGAAAGCTGCGGTGAGAGGCAGTCCGTCTGAGACTGCGTCACGGTTGGCTGGGGAGATGCTTAGAGGCGCCGGATGATACTATCATGCCTCCCTGCCTTCAGTTAACAGACACATTTTGTCTCTGCCACCCCTGCAGTACTCATTTGTAAAAATTCAGGTTAAAATTACTTAATACTTCATCTCCCTGGCTTCATGCTCCCCTCAACTTGCCACCTGCTGTAGCAAACGATTGCCCCTGAATTGAAACGTAACTGAGGAAAAGTGCCCTACTCTGATTTATAGGAAGCGACGCCCCTGCAGCCCTTCTCCAGCACCCTGCAGAACGAAGCAGAATTCCACCTGTAGCCGTGGTCTTCGTACCCGTTTTGATGTTTCAGGTGTAAACACCCTCAGCCTAAAGTAAGCGCCGTGCGATGAACTGGAGGAACACTGAGAGAAATAGGGACCCTGGCTAAATACTTGCCACTGAAATCTGGGTAATAAGCAGCTTAGACACAGGAGCATGTTAGCTTCTCGGGATGGAAAACTAGGACTGAGATGCTTTCACAGCTGAGCACGTATTTGAGAGTCTGCTGTGTGTGGAGAACCTGTAAGTGTCCAACAGTGTTCTCTGTTCCTAGGGAAGCGGACACGTGTCTGTGAACCTGTTTAGAGCGAAGGCAAGGCCATCCGTGACTCAGGGCAGAGGGTGGTGTAGACGGTCGGTCTCCAGCCGGAAGGAAATGGTGGGCGTTGAAGTGTGTAGGAGGGATTTTCTTCCTGTAGCCATGTCTTGTAATGTGTGGGGTAACAGAGAACCAGAGACTTCCAGAAAGAGTCTTCCTTGACACCCAGATCACCTCCAGTGAGCATCATGGAATCTGTCATAAGCCTAATTCGCAGGAACCCACTTGGCCCCAAACCTGTCTGGGCCTCTTGCCCAGCTTCCAGCCTGCCCGGCCCCCCCTGGGGGCCACAGCACACACAGCCCGTAGTGGGTGGCCGGAGTCCATGTCAGGAGAAGGGGCCTGGGGCGACTGCTGGCGTACAAGGAGCCTTCCTCTCGGAAGCCTCTGGTCTCCGCTTTCTCCTCTGCAGTTGGGGACATGAAGATGCTAGAAGGAAGAATATTAGCCAAAGGTCTGGCTATCGGCACCCATCCCTGAGGAACCCCTACTTACTCGCTTCGCCCTGCTTGAAAATTCTCTTCAATTCTCACAGATCAACTGGATTCTGGGCCCTGAGATGTTTCCAAGCAGGAGAGGCAGGCTGGGCAGAGAGGATAGTCTGGGAGAGGACTCCTTCCTGAGCAAGCCAGACGAGCCCTGGAAGGAGAGAGTCATGCTGAGGGCGAGGCATGACCCTGACTGATTCCTGACTTCCTCTGTGAGATGACACAGGAAAGACCCGGGGACCTGACCCTGGAATCCTGTCCCAGCCTTGAGTCGGAGGGTGGAGCTCACCTCACCTCCTTAGCCCTTCATGCTGACCCCTCTCTTCCCAGCATCTGGCCTGGGGCCTCAGTACCTGTGGGATGACTTCCAGGCTCCAACACAGGCACCCATGACTTTGTTCTCTGACACCGTTTACTGTCACTTTCCACCTTGAACTTCGTGCTTTGGTTTAAGTGAACAAAACAGGTCTTTTCCACCTCTCTGCAGGTCAAGCCTATGGGTAAAACCAATCTTACAAAACCATCGACAAAACCTTTCCACTCGTCTTCCCTGGTCAGTCCTCTTAATCTTTTAAGCTGAGTGGAGGGATTGTCTCCTCAGGAGGGGCTCTGTGCACCTCCAGTCTGAGCTAAATGCTTTCTTTTTATTCCCTGGAAGGCATTTTGTGCACACCTTTACTATCGCCTTTTCCAAATGCATTTGACTGATGGTCCTGCCTGCCTTCCCAGGAGGCTTCCTGTGGGCAGGAACCATCCCTTCCTTCCCTCTGGGTCTCCTGAGGCTCGCACACAGTGGGCAGTGAGCTGTGGGTCCTGGCCAGCAGATGTGCTCTCAGGACACAGCGGGGTTCTGCTCACAGGTCTCCAGGTGCCTTGCACTCCAGATGGGTCCTGTGCACTTTTTAGGGTCTCCAGGTTGGCCGGTCCCTATCTTTTTGTTTCTCACTCACACAGATGTACTTTATACATGTTTTGTGGCTTTCTTCAACGTTGGGAATTAAAGTTTATCTTTTGCTTCTTTGGTGCCATATACACTCAAGTATGTTTTTGCAGTAGACTATAAAAATTTACTGCTTAGTAGTCTCTTCCTCTTAGAGCAAAGCTCCCTTGAAGAATTAGGTCTACTTTACAAAATAATGTATCCAGTAAGATCCAACTCATTTTCAAAGCAACCAGTTTTTTTAATCTTTGTTTAGTGGGCAGCCTACTAAATCTCCAAAGAACAATAGCTAAAAAATAACAAAAAACCCCACCATGCTCTGAATTATAGTAAGAGTTAGAGTTAATAAAAGTGAACTCCTTGCTACCCAAGAACTTCATCAGCCCACTGGGCACATAAATTTGGGTGTTTCGTTTCTAACATAGTTTTGGAACCTACTGTTGGCCCACATCTCAGACTCCCTGGAAGTTGGGATTTGTAT